AATAATACTCATGAATGTTTGTACCGTGCGAGAAATCGAACCCGCGATCATCGACAGTAACGCGGTGAGCTAAGCCTCTAGGCCACCTTGGCCGTAGTTTATATCCATATAAGTACATTTACTATGTTATATCCACGTAGCACAGTATGTAGTAACTTATTAGATTGAATTAGGTGTCAATAGATCTGTCATTACAAGTGTGACAGTACACAGTGTATGTCTCTGACGTCATATACTATTCAGTATGGCTGTGATTGAAGGTCATATTATTAATAAGTTGGTATTTTAAACACTTGGTATTCTAAACACTTTTACTTGTCAAAAAAAACAAAACAAAAAGAAACCCCAACTTTGACACTACTTTTGTAAGTTACGATTTTATTATATGTATATTTTTTACTACATATACTTACGTTTTGATACTTTAATTTATTTTATATTCGCCCTAAGAGGCTCCAACCTAGCCACCTGGAGGTTGTTGCCCCCGGAGTGGATGCCGGGGCAAAAGGGTTCGCTCCGCCACAACCTTCACTCCTAGGGGTTCGATCATCATCAGATGTCAATAGATCTGTCATTACAAGTATGACAGTATAGAGTGCAAGTATATGACGTCATATACCATACAGTATGACTGTGACTGAAGTTCATAATATTAATAAGTTGGTATTTTAATCACTCTTACGTGACGTCACTAGGTACAAGTTACGTCCCCACTGTTATAACGTTATGGGAAAAAACGTAATACCAAAACTAAGAAACTCATGGGATTGACCCGCTGTAATATGGAATAAAAAAATATGAAATATCCAGGGTTTATAAATTTTTTTTATATAATTAAAATGGAAAACAAGCTGACGTTCCACATTATTAGGTAGTACCCGTCGTCTATTTACATGAATATCACTAAGGATATCACGTTATTAAGTAACGCCCGTGATACCACTCGTGACTGCAGCGAGTTTCTATACAATTATGTCAAAAGGGCCCACAATAAAGTCACAATATTAACAAAATTATGTATATTTATGTATTTTACTTTTGTTTTAGATTATACAATTTGTTATTTGAATTTTATTTAGTATTTGACATTTTATTTTTGTTTGCACCAATTATTACCCACTCAGTACCACATATCCCACTGTTTTAGGTTGACTGGAAGAGATCTCTTCTAGGGATAAGTCCACCTTTGCTCACATTGTCTCTAAATTATAATATCTTTTTATTATCTGTGCAATAAAGAATATATAAAATTATACATATAAACTAAACTAATTTATAATTTTTTATATATTTTTTCTCGTTTTGGTGCCACTGAAAACCATCGGTATGTTCACATAGGACATACAATAAAGCTGAGTGGATGCATTTCAGTACCTATATGGATGTAAAAAATGATTATTTTATGGATATTTAAATGTAGATAACATGTTAAATTAAGTTTAATTTTATAGACATTTTATTAAATAATTTTTTTCATTTGATTTTTTTATATTGTAACATTGTTCAAAAGCACTAAAATACACACAATAAATTTTTTCTTTTTTTTTTTAGACATTTATAAAAAGAATGACGGACAAGCTGCCAGGAACTCCATTCATGTGTTACGATTTCGGAGGAGTAATTTGTTATGCCTCTTATCCTATAATTACACTGCTTAATCTCTCCTTCCAATTAAATACAGCTTACAAAGCTTAGCGGCTGAAATAGGTGAGATAGAGTACACACGCAGACGTCTTCGTACAAAGTCTTCTTGTTCTTCTTTTTAAACCAATTGTTATTATAGGTTGTCTTCAATTGTTTTCGTTGTATGCTATTTTGGACAATGACTCATTCTTTATTCTTTATTCAAATAACGTACAAATATTACAAAATTTATTATACATTGGACCCCGCACTAGGCAAACCTGTATCGCGGGAGTCCACAAAAGAATTGCCAAATAATTATTTACTATTACTGATCAGTGAGTTTGACATAACAGACTAATTAAGATTTTTTAGATTAATTTAATAAAAAACACAATTGTTGACTATATAAAAAATGAAACAAAATAAACAGAAAATAGAATAAAAAGAAAATTTAAAGTTCAACACCATATTTCTTGCGATGATATGTGTGCATAGTCCATAAATTATTCAAATTACACCGTGTTAACATTCTTATTAAATTATTGATTGTTTAGGATTTTAAGAATACATAGTACTATTTAAAATTTGTTCAGTGGCATCATAGTCTAATTTTTGTAGATAATGTTTTACCTTGTGTTTAGGCTTCAATCTTGGTAATATTTTCCAATTTGCAAAGCGCATTAATTTTTTTATATAGGAACGGTTGAATTGGTTAAGAATTGATGTTCAGTTGTGTGTGTTGTTGTAAATATAGTTTCTGTGTAAACTATATTTACTTTCCACGTCATCTGAGCTCTTCCTTTAGATCTTTTCCTACAAAGTCTTCTCCAGTAAAAGGTGTGTGTTCTATAAATTAACAATGTGCTACAGACCATAGAAATAAAACCATAAAATGTAATTTGCCCAAAAATCTATCATACAAAACGTAATCAAGAAGAATAAAGGTAACTAACAATATGTTTCGGATGTCAAGGTTATGACAAACATCCGCGATCAGTCCAGCGGTTCAGAACAACTGCTCGATAAAGATAAATGTTTTTCACGATACCTTTTTTTCTGTTCTAAATAAAAACTTAAATTATTGAAGAAGACAAAAAGTCAATTAGGAACATGTCACGAAAAATCATTCCCAAATTTAAAATAACTGATTAAATTTAGTCGATTTTGATAATTTAAGCTTTTAACCTTAGAAAACCGAAAAAGAGTGGGTTTGTTTTCAAATCGAAGCTTATTTTTTATGTATATATACACTTTTATAAGTATTTTGGCATTCCTCGTATATTTTTTATATTTTGGTTGATACAATCGAAATAAGTACCTACCTATATCCTAGAACATCCCTTGAAAAGGCGAAACGTATACATATGCATAGACTAGGCAACATTAATAATATCTTCTTTTTTGCAATTATATAGAATTATGAATTGATTTATTATGTACATAATATAATAATTAATTTCTTTGAATTAAATAATTATAATACCATGTTTTTCTTATTAAATTCATTGGAATTTGTGATGACTTCCGTAGCACTACTATAGTCAAGGAGGTAACGTTACGTCGAGTAAGTGAGAATTTATGTATACACAGATTACGTCTCGATTAGGATAAGACAAAAATAATAAGAATGAAATCTAAAATTCATTTTATATATTAACACTACAACATAAAATTGCATTACATTTGTGTTCATAATATTATTAGATTATTCGTGCTTATATTAAAGGAGCCATTGCCGATTCCGGTGCTTCATCTACAAAGGGTCGGTAGGTACCTGATTTTTATACTAAAAATATCTCTCAGTAATACAATAAGACATCTAAAAATGGTCAAAGTAAAGACCCAATATAGTTTATTCATATAGGAATACTTTCCACTGAAAGTATTCCTATATGAATAAACTATTTTGGCTTATGCACTTAATTTTTAACATTATGCGTACCATCCCATTCAGCTAGCTACTTCAGTTGAGAAGAACTGACAAGAAACTCAACTGATACATTTTTTTATCTATAAAGTTTACTTATTTACTATAATATTTCAAGTATTTTTTTCCTATAAATATTGTTTCAAAATTATTTCAAAAACATTTGTTAACTATTTGTTCAACATATGTATATATAATATATATTTTGAAAGTAAATCGTCTTAATATTAAAGAAATATAAATAATTCGTCTACAGTTATATAAATATAATGAAAACTTTGTTATTTGTTCTACTGTGAAAATCGTATAAGCCTAGGTTTAAGATATACTAAAATAAAATACGTAGGTAGTAACAAAACACGATATTACGCAGAAAATTTAATTCAGATTAGTAAAGTAAACGCAGGTTATAAACATTATTTAAATACAGAGTGACTTACATTAATCGTAAATATTTCTTTTCTTTTTGTACATATTTGTCTTTTTTGGTTCATGTTTATTTTTATCGCAACTTTGAATTTCTTTTAATTATGTGCATTATATAAAACACATCATAGTTTATATATTTATACTATTTACTTCTATAAAACATACATAAAAATACTAACTAACATTATATAGAGTTAAGGTTTGTGAGATAATGAAGGTAGGTAATGTCTGGATCTATTAATCTGATTTTGAAAATTGTTTTAGAGTTCAGCAGCACATGTGACGGGAAAGGTATATAATATTACGCTGCTACCAATGGGAGCGGAGCTGATTTGAAAAATGTTGCAAATCGGGAAAAATGTGCCGCAGACAATGTCGCGCAAGTCAGCTAGTCTATTAATCAATTCCTAGATCCTGTAAGAGCAGCGTTCTTTTGTGTAATAGCATAATTTATATTAATTAAAGGTTTAAAATAAAAGACGCAAACTATTTATTTCCTCACAAAATCAAATAACCCTAATCGTAAAATTTATGAAATATTTTTTGTTTATATGAATGACAACAACATAGAACTAAAAGCAGTTCAAACAGATATTAAAATCTTTAATTACAATGGAAATGCTCTCTAGACATTTGAGTCGGCAACGCGATGAGCAAATCGCATACAACGATATCTACATATAATTACAAAGTAACACCAATATATAACAATTACGTCAAACTATAATGCTCTCCTTCGAAAAGAAACTCACGAAAATGACGTAACAAGAGGCGTTCATTATCAAAAGTGGAATCTTTGCTAATCCCCCGTCGTAAACGCGAATCTTTCACTTAAACTAGCGTTAATGGTTTGGCAGTCGACTCGCTCACACTCACTATGTCGCCAATAACCTTACATATTATCCTTTACGATGAGTTAATGCGTGTCTGTCAAATATTTAGAGCTTGCCGTATAAAAAAAGGACGTCGCGGCGGCCGGGCAGCGTTTCAAAGGCGCGCGCGCAGGGAAAATCATTCGATCGCATCAACGGCTCGAACCGAACGTACACTAATAGGGAAGTGTTGTAGACGTTTTTTTTTATACTATTTTTCTTTTAAGATGCAATCTCGCAGATTGTCTCCACTATTGTGGTAGTGTGTTTACCGGTTTTCATCCAAGATTATGAAATAATGTACGTTGGAAGAAATATTTTAAACGGTCACCGATTGTGTTTGAACCGATTCACGGACACCCAAGAAGTTCTAAGATTCCTAATGCTACAGTTGGTTGTGCCTAATTGGACGATATGGATCTCCAGAGTTTTGTGACGAGTAATAATTTATGACAAAAATTTAGACTGGACGGTGTTAATTTATTTTTATAAGCGGTGTTTACGAAGATAGCTAGTCAAGATGATGTCAAAAAAGCAGTTCACGTGCATGCTGACCCTGCATATTGTGTATTTGCTAGTGGGAGCGAGCATATTTTACCATATAGAGAGTCCTTTGGAAGCTCAACAAAGGGCCGAAGACAAACTGGAAAGACTTGAAATTCAAAGTAAGTCATTTGATCCTAACTACTTAGTTACATACTAGGTATGTTTCTAGATTGCGACCTTACGGATAAAATTAAGATTATTTATGTATTTTATTGAATATCCAACAATATCTATTCTATTTGACCTTATTTGTAATAAGCACTTGTGTTTATATACGGGCCGATATATGCAATTTTTCTACGTTAAATCGAAACTCTGCCGTAATTGGCCGCAGGTCCATATTCTTAGATGAAGACTATAATGTTTCATAATTTTCAATTACAAAATATTTTATCAATTTAAAGAAAGTATATTTTCTTTTCCTACGAATGAAAAATGACTAAATATAAATTTCCAAAATTACTGAATTTATATTAACTAAACATAACACAATTTTTAAAAATTTTGTTTAATTTAATAAATCAAAGTACAGGACTGAAAATATCATCGATGTCGTCATTTCAACCTAGATAAGTTGAAATTTAATTGTCGGTGCAATCTGAAGGATGCGTTACAACATTGAGTGAGTCGACACTCACTGCGATATATTTGTTTAAAAAAAATAACCTGAAATTAGTATTTTCGTCTAAAGTACAATTTGAGAACAGCCTATGTTGATGAATGTTTGAAACCTTAGCACTGTACCTATATTATTGAAAAAAAAAAAGGATTTTCATTATCAAAAACTCGATCGAATAAACATAAGTCAAAGTTTAAATACTTCTAAGAGCTATTAATCGTGTAAACTGTAACTTATTACATTAAAGATAGTTACTTTACTAGGTAAAAATAATTACACCAGTTTTATAAATATTTATCACTTTACACAACATAATTGTAGAAAACCATTATATTTTATTTAGAAAAAAAAAAATTATGTTACTTGCCATCATTACATAGTATAAAAAAAAATCGTTGTCGCTGTCTTTACGTCTGAATGTATGCTTATATCTTTAAAACTACGCAACGGATTTTGAAGCGGTTTTTAAATAGATAGAGTGATTCAAGAGGAAGGTTTATATATATGATAAATTTACACCCGGGCGAATCCAGGGCGAGTAGCTAGTATAATATATATTAAGCGAAATGATTTTCGTTAGCTTACAATGCAAGCTGTTTGGCGACGACGATTTGACTAGTTTAGATAATTTATAGAGATATATATGTTTTATTATTTATATCCCTATAAATTATCGAATACTGCCCCTTAAACCGATTAGCCTTGCCATCAGATAAGTGAATAAATGCAATGCATTACACTGTATGCATTCTGATACTACAGCCAATAGACTGGTATCTATCGATCCACTTGTCATAATCCATCGTCAACAGTTGCATTCTAGATATTTGTTTATCAATGACGATTTCAATATACCTACGTATTGTAAGATCTACAATAAACTGCATTCAGGGAAAAAATATCTTCGTCACGCCAGATTACTTACTTATTCTTATTCAATTAATCACTTACAATATTAAAGATTATTATCCAAATCAAAATTGTGTCAGTCTTTTTGTTATTCTTGTACAATAAAACAGCTGAACGGATTGTAATCGAACAGGGGCACAAGATATTGCCTTGCTTTCATTGGACGGGTTCGATTCCCCGCACCGTACTATCATTTGTGGATACAGACCGTTACAAATATACATGAGTATGTATGTATGTATATTTGTAAAGGTCTGGGTGTTTTCCATGTATCATATACATATAAATTTCCAAAAAAATATTCTAATTATATATATGTGGGATTATCGCGAGTGAGACTTGAAGAACAGTCTCATAATATTTAATTATTTATTAACATCTTAAAATTGTCTTTTATCGTCTTACGTCGTTCTGTCAACTCCTTTAATTCTTTTTTTTTAATAAAACTATAATAAAAATAAAACGCATAAATCCTCCTTCCACATATATACATATATATATAGATATCAGTTGTGAAGTACCCATAAGCTCTGCTTAGCTTGGGACTAGATGGATCTGTGTAAGTTATCCTGAGATATTATATTATATTACGATGACGAACATACGCTTATTTTTGTCTAAAAAAATCGGAGACATTGTTTATTTTATTCCTATATTAAGGTACATTTTACTTTGAGCTACAATTTATTAAAATACCGATGAAGTTTGTTGTCATTACAACAAAGACAATCATTATTATGAGAAAAAGGAAATAAAATCGTCATAAAAAAACAATAGTACTTTGCATAATAAATTACCCGCGTAATATGAAACAAAGTTATGTACTTCATACGTATTGGTAATTAATCCATAACTATATTATAAATGCTAAACCGTGTCTGTACATTTGTCTGTATATTTGTTGCTTTTCACGACAGAACGGTTGAACGGATCTTAAGTCGTAAAGACACTATATCAAATGTATGTAATCACGAATCTTGCCATTTTTATGGCATATTTAAACAATGGGTGTAATCTGAAATATACTGGAAATGTATAATATTTAATATAATGAAATATATGCACATATATCGATAACATAACTAGTGAGTTATTGAGTTCAATAAAATATATATATTTTATCCAAATATACATTTATATAAAAGATATTCTTGCTCCATTTTATTGCTGTTCTTATATTCAAAATTGGAGAAGCAGATTTATTTTTCTTTTATTTTGGTCAACAAACAGTGCGTACAATGTAATTTTATAAATTAACCATACAGTAGATATATTATATTCTTAGTGTATCGCCAACACCGTTAACAATTTTTTTTACAATATCACTAATTTACTAACTACTACTACTAATTTGCACTATTAATGATACAATTGGTAGGTAAAAATTTGAAGCAAAAATCAATTCAACAATTACAATATTTTTTTTAAAGTTGTGTGTATAGTGTTGTAATGAAGGGTATATATTTCCTATGACTCAAAGTGCCTACTCACAATTGGAAAATTTATGGATTAAAGGCCTAAAACGCAAAACAGTTATTGGTATTCATAATATAGTCTATGGATCATTGCATACGTGTCATGAATAGCGTAGTATAGAGATGAGGGTAATAGCACTACAATTCTTATACCACAAACCTCAAACAGGTTCAACCCTTCGTAATAAGTGAGTGGAATATAACAAATGACGATCAGCTTTAGATATATTTTTTTTCAATGATATGAAATCTACTTATTATATTAACATATCCATCTCTAAATTTTATAAAACAAAATTCGTAACGTCTCTATCTGTATATTTGCGATAATCTAAAAAACTAAGGTACTCATTTTCATGCAGTTTTCATACGTCAACGTAATTATTTATTTTGAAGGAGTAGGTGTATAATTCATTAAAGTGTTGTATAAATTAATTGAAATACCAGTGCAAAGCTGGGGCCTTAATAGATAATTAAGCTGGTAAATAATAAAATATGAGATTTTTTATGTCTTTTGCGGATACATATATGTACTGATAATAAACATTTTTTCTATTTATTTCGGATATGTATCCATATTATGTTAGTAAACAAGTTATAAACTATATTAGTAAATTACAATTTTATTCATTTAATTCCTATATTTATGTCTATATCTAACATTAAATGAAAATCCCGTGCATGAACAACTATTGGCATTTACGTTTGTCATTTAAATAATAGTTGAGTGAGTTGCTCAATAAATTTGATTTAACAGATGTTTTAAATTAATCTAAAAACTCCAGTATAAACATTGAAACCTTTTTGATAATTTTAAAAATTCACAATAATTTGCATTCCATTCTCATTCTCATAAAAGACCCATTGACTTTTTCTAAACGATGCTTAGGAATAGCAAGTTTATCTTTAAACCTAGTATTAATGTTATGAAAAATAAAACCGGATACAAACGATTGAAATATTCGCCATAATTACTTGGCTGACTATTAGTTACAAATCGCTCTTTCTATTGCACGCTTCATTTACCTGGTATACTATAAATATACCAACGATTGTATGTCTTACAATTTTCCGTAAGACTCGATAAAAAATCTTGAAACAATGTTCAGACAATCGAGATGTGTCTCATAGTTTGTGCTTGGCTGCAAATATTTATGTCACTTATAATGTAGATGTAAATCTAATGATTTCATCATATATATCGTATGCTATTCAATACTACGATGGTAGTAAACAAGCTATGGCCCACCTGATGGTAAACGGTTACCGTAGCCTATGGTTTGGCGTACTTTTAGATTGTTTTTTTTTTATTTCAGACACATTTCTTTGGATGTTATATTCCAGCCTTTCTATACTTTTATTTATAAATACAACTTAACTACTAACGGATACAAGAATATATATAAAATAGGGAATACATTTAATTTATTAATTGTTTATAATTGTTTTATGACTTTTTTGTTTCGTACATGTACATGTTTTCCTACTTACAATTAGGTACTTATTCTATTTTATATTTACTTTTAGATTATTAGATTATATTCTAAGTACTTATTTATCAACTCTTTCGATGTCTGGGTACAGTGGCGCAAAAAAAACAAGTAAAGGTGACCCCGTAATCATGTATACATAGGTAGGATATATTAATAAGAGAAAAAGGGCTCTCTCTATTACACGTATAAAAGTATCTACACATAATTACAGAGTAATAAGGAGCTGTCTTACAAGGAAAAACTTTCAGACAATATTTGGGTATCGGAGAAATACGTCAGGCGATTATCATTTTTGTATTAAATTTGTATATATGGAATATACAAATTGTTGATTGGATATACTAACAATTTCGAAATAATCACATTTTACGAAACATTTAAAAAGAAATAAACCGTCGCAAACATACACTGTCTACTAATGACATATAAACAAACACATCGTTATTGTGCATAATAAAATCTCGCACGTTTCAAGCAGTTTGATCTTACACGCCGAGTACAAGTTTGATAAAAATATTTATTTCAGTATTTTAATAAAAAAATTTATGACATTTTGGTCGTCGTACGATTAATTATTCTCGGTATTTTTATATTTTCACTGCTCTTTAACATACTTTTAATAT